AATAATAATAATAATAATAATAATAATAATAATAATAATAATAATAATAATGATGATGATGATGATGTATATAATATATAATAATAATATTTATATAATGTATATAAATATTTTTGATTTGATAATATGTGATTATAAATGAAATGTAAGGGATGACTATGGAAGGGATGCACAGAAATCTTGTAACCAACCGACACACTGTTTGTAATTGAAGATGGCTTTATGTTTTTTGTTTTGTTTGTTTATGTTTGTCTAAAAATAAAAAACATTTATTAAAAAAAAGGTAAGCGGAGTCAACCATTTCATCCTGCATCTTGGAAGTAGCTGCCATTTCAGCATGGGTGCAAGGTATTATGGTTGATCTGAAAATGGATGCCAATTCTGGGACATAGCCATGCAGCACAGGGATGCTAAGGGACAATCACCTGCCCTCCTTCTCCAAGGTGAGGTCTGGAGCTCTGGAAAAGGGTAATTGCGGAATGAGGGGGGGGCAAGATGGGGTAGGAAGCAGCCCCAAGGCTTGCAGGGACCCAGTGGGGAGGATGGGGGACAGAAATAATTTGGAGGTGCTACAGGGTCCCTGTCGTCAGTTGTAGGGGCGAATGACTGTGGGGTCATTGCAGCAACCATAACTTCTAAACAGGGTTGAAAGTAGCTTTTGGGAGTCTGTTGTAACTTTAAAACATTGGTAAGCAACCTTCAACCTGTCATAAATTGAGGACTACCTGTATGTAAACTCTGTTGAGGCCTTCTGTGACATGTGAATGAACATGTGAAGGTGAGGGGAAAATGGCTAGTCCTGACCAATCCATTGCCATCCTTGACAAACTTTGACAGCAGAGTTACTGGTATCTAGGTAAGTTTTCTACTGTACATGAAGTGGGACCCTGCAGGAGTCTATATCAGTTTCCATGTCTATGTCAGAGAGTCTTACTCTGAAGAACTAGCATATGACCTCAGCTTATGGGGATGATAAGGAGAACGATGGAGGGAACAGTAGAGTGTTTGTGGTAGGGTCTTTCCACTTGGCTTCATGAAAGTGTGTGACAAAAGACATTGGAGCCCCTCCAGGTCCTGGCTCCCTCAGAGCCAGCATTGTCTGCTCAAGTGTGTGCATTTCTGGAGTACCTGAAAGTGCATCTCTTTCTGGCTTCGGCTGTAAGGAAAGTGTGAAGATGAGCCAGCATCATTAGTTCTCAGTGTCTACTTCCCCATCTCTTTTTTAGACAGGGGGAAGGCAAGGAAGTTAAACTAAAGCTAGCAGTAATGGACATCTCAAATTGGTGCTTCCCACTTCATCTTGTCCCACCTCCCCCCCCCCATTATGTGCTTCCCTTCTCCAGAGCTCTGGACCTCATCTTGGAGAAGCAGGGCAGGTCATTGCCCCTTATCATCCCTGGGCTGCATGGAGTTTCTCGTTTGTAAAGTGAGAGGATGCAAAAGATGAGGCCTGGGGGAAGAGTACTTGAGGAATATGACCCAAAATTCTAGTCTGGTAGTCTAGTTAGAAGGGTAGGCCTCAGATTCCCTGTTCCTGAAACAGAAGACCTTATCCAGACCCTTATAAAGAAGGGCATATAAATGTTCTGCCTTTTTTGCTCTTCTTGGTTCTCAGATCTGTTTCTTTCTATAGTCATGGCTGGAATACAAGGTGGCCAGATTACAAAGAAAACAGGTCTCCTAGAGTATTCAATTAATGTGGATTGACTACCCAGCACATTTGATACTATAGACTTGCTCATTCTACTCAGCTGCTGTATTAATATCGCCGTGGGGCTGTCATAACATACAAGCTATGAAGCCATTTCAGTAATGCAGTGATGGTATGGGCCATAATAAATATTTGTGCAATGAACAGGAACCACAAATTAGTGTGATATGTACATCATGAATAGGAATTCAGTTTTCACTTCAATATAAACATACCTCACACATGCTGTTCAAACTAGCATTTAAAGCAAATTGCAATTAAACCCTACAGTTATCAGAAGGAAGATAACCCTGAATTCAAGATGGTCTTCCTAATGTGAAAGAGCAAAGACAGCAAAAAAATAAATAAATTATGAACACAGGCAAAAATCCTGTGGTTGGTTGGTTGGTTTGGTTGGTTTATTCGACTTGTATGCCGCCCTATTCCCAAAGGGACTCAGGGCGGCTGACAAACCNAACCCCAGGCTTGCTGGAACAGCCAGACCTTAACGGCTGTCCGGAAGGCCTGAAGGGTCGTGAGGGTCCGAATCTCCACAGGGAGATCGTTCCAGAGAGCCGGAGCAGCCACAGAGAAGGCCCTCCTCTGGGTGGTCGACAGCCGGCATTGGCCGGCAGATGGAATTCGGAGGAGGCCTAATCTGTGGGATCTAATGGGTCTGTGGGAGGTAATTGGCAGAAGGCGGTCTCTCAAGTACCCAGGTCCAGTTAAGATTGTTGTGGTTGAAAAACCACAATTTAGAGGAAGGACGGTCAACAGTGTAAATCCTAAACTTAAGAGTATACAGAAATGTATTTAAGACACACACCCATCCCTGGCTCTGAAACCTGGGAAGGGAGATGTTCAGACTTGGGTGATGTGGGTATTATCCACTTGTCTCCCTTGCTTTTTTTTCCTTTCCAGATGTTAAGCACAGGTACCAAAAGTAGTTAAACGAGAAAGGGGCTTAGCAGAAGCCGCCTACTGGTCAGAGTAAGCTGCATAATGAGATGGAGTGTTGTGGCCCACCAGTAACCAGCAGAGCTGGTGACAGATTCGGACAGTGAGGAGGTTGGGGAGGAACATGGGCCAGTCCTGGAGTCTGGGGAAGGTTCTGACGAGGGCTCTGTGTCGGAGGCAGAGAAGGGGTCCGGGGGCCATAGTTTGAGGACCCTCCTGATTTAGTGCAATATAAAAAACGCAAATAATTTTTCTGCGGACCACCAAAATTGTCTCACGGACCCCCAGTTGGTGACCGCTGGACTAGAAGACCTCCAAGGTGTCCCTTCCAACTCTGTTATTCTGTCATGTTTTTTTTCCCAAGGTTGAAATATGGCCTGTTGCAAAAGCAGGTGCAAATGTTATGAGCTGTTAACGGCTCTTAGGAAACAAGCCTTAATAACTGGCAAGCTCTCGGTTCCCCTGTGGCTCCCAAGAAGATGAATGTGTCACAGAAGTGGTGGACAGCTTGTACTGAACAACGTGGAGTCTTTTGTGGAAAACAGTGGCCCCTGGGCACATGGTGTTCTGAGAGACTGAGTAGCAGGCTCATATGATTTGCATGTGCATGACAGATGGGTCCATGCCTGCCTAGACACCTGTGATCATTCGGGCCCCACAGGGCATTGGAAATATGTTTAACCTGATAATATATTTAAAACAGAGTTAAAAGGGACCTTGGAGATCTTCTAGTCCAACCCCCTGCTCAAGCAGAAGACCGTATAGCATTCCAAACAAGAGGTTGTCCAGTCTCTTCTTGAAAACCTCCAGTGATGGAGCGCCCACGATTTCTGGAGGCGAGCTATTCCCCTGATTAATTGTTTCCACTGTCAGGATATTTCTCCTCAGTTCTAGGTTGCTTCTCTCCTTGATTAGTTTCCATCCATTGCTCCTTGTCTCTCTTCTCATCAAAGAGTGATCTGTCTAGAACTAAGGAGAAATTTCCTGAAGGCAGGCTGCTCCACTGGTTAATTGTTCTCACTGTCAGGGAATTTCTCCTTAGTTCTAAGTTGCTTCTCTCCTTGATTAGTTTCCACCCATTGCTTCTTGTCCTGCCTTCTGGTGCTTTGGAGAATAGCTTGAGTCCCTCTTCTTTGTGGCAACCCCTGAGATGTTGGAAGACTGCTATCCTGTCTCCCCTGGTCCTTCTATTCATTAAACTAGACAATAAACAATTCCAGCAACCGTTCTTCATATGTTTTAGTCTCCAGTCCCCCAATCATCTTTGTTGCTCTTCTCTGCACTTTTTCCAGAGTCTCCACATCTTTTCTACATNCAAGGAGAGATTCAACCTGGAAATAAGGAGAAATTTTCTGACAGTGAGAGCAATCAACCAACAAAACAGCTTGCCTTTGGAAGTTATGGGAGCTTCATCACTGGAGGCTTTCAAGAAGAGACTGGACTTCCATATGCCAGAAATGGAGTAGTCTCCATTGGAGGGTCTCCTGCTTGGGTGGAGGATTGGACTAGATGACCTACAAGGTCCCTTCCAACTCATCTGTTAATCTTTTAAAACTGAGCAAGGGCAAAGGTTGGGATGGCCTTCTTTATGCCTCTTTGGTCCAACAGCTGCTCCTCCCTTGGCTTGAGAGGTGAGGAGGCTGGTGACCTCACAAGGGCTTCCCTGGCAACTCAGCATGAAGTCATGAGCCCAGCCATTGTTGCAGCAATAGGGAGAGAAAGCTGCTTGGGCAATATTGACCAGTTGTAGCTTTGAGCTTGCCAGATGTGGATCAGAGTTGGTCCTTGAGTTGTTCTAAAGTCTTGTTCTCTGTTCCAACCTCTGGTTGGGAATGCCTGTTTCCCTACAGCATGATGCTTTCCTTGAGGAACCTAGTGGGGCTGCTGAGTTGCTGACGAGTCCCCGTTTCCATCTGAAGAGAAGACGACATCTTGAACCTTGAAGCAGCAATGCTGGTGAAGGAATATCGGATTTGTATGCCTCTCACCACTGAAGAGGTAAAGTTGAGCTCCTGAAATTGTGGGGAAGGAAGGGGAGGTTTTTTATTTAGCCAAACTATCTTGGAATCTTCACACCCAACTTCCTTGCTAGCTTGTTGCAGGACACGATGGGCTGGAGGAGTTGGGAGAGGAGGGTCAAAGGTTTGGTTTGTTGCTAGAGATTGGAGACTACAGAACACTGTTGCTCAATCTTGGAAAACCAGAAGGTCTGTGGACTTCATCTCCCAGAATTCCTCAGCCAGCAAGGGGAGAATTGTCCGCTGGAGAATGCAGCTGGCTAGAATTGCTAGCTGGAGAATTCTGGGTGCTGTTTCACACATCATCAGGTTCCCAAGTTTGAGAAATACCACATTAGAAGAAGGGAGGATACTGGCTGGAATGAAACCTCCCCAGTTTCTAAATTAGGGACCAAAACTTTCAGGGCTTCATGAGGCTACCGACCTTCTACACTTGCGATGGCAAACCTATGGCACATGTGCCCGAAGGAGCATGTCATCACCTGTTCCTCTTCTGGGTTTCTGGCATGCATGCATGTGTGACAATCAGCTGGCCTTCATGCGTGCAGCAGTGCCAGAAACTCTTGTGCGCAGACCCAACCGGAAGTTCATTTTCCAGCGTTCGCATATCCCCTGGGCAGCTCCTCTTCTTGGTTGCAGCCTAGACAAGCATGCACACTCCATTTTCAGCACTTGGTGCCAAAAAGGTTGGCCATCACTGTTCTGCACACTTTGAGCCATGTGTCTCAACCTTAGCCACAGCTAAGAATGTCCCAGTCAATGTGCCAGGTGGAGAATTTCGAGAGTTGAAAATCCATGCCCTCTTAAAGTGGCCTGAGGAATTCTGGGAGTTGAAGTCCACCCTTCTTAAACTTGGCTGAGTAGCTCCGGGAATCGGTCCAGATCTCTTGAAATGGGCTGGAGAATTCTGGGAGTTGAAATCTACCTGGGTTAATGGTTTAGTGGTTTAATGGTTTATTCGAATTATATGCCGCCCTATTCCCAAAGGGACTCAGGGTGGTTGACAAACCAGGAGGGAAGGGGAACAAATACAAAGAGTAAAACAGAAACAA